GATTTGCAAGACGAGTCGACGTGAAATGGCAATCTGAAGACAGAAAACACACAAAACATCCTGCTCATGGGTTGTCCCAACTGATGTCCAGACCAAGGATGGGCGATAACAACACCATTTGAGTCAATGCTGCTCACAACTCTCTAGCCAGTCATGGCATGATGATGCCTCAGTCATCATTTTGCAAAATGGGCTCGTTGTATTGCGTCATAAGTGCAAGTGTCTACATCTACCGTTCAGTTTTTGTGAATAGTTCAACCCACAAGTTAATAGTCATAAGGCCTCAAGCTCAAGAAGTCGGGTTAAATGTGACTAACTCGTTGAATAAATAGATACATGAATGTCAAAATAAACCTGTAGCTAGATAGATAGATAAATAAATAAATAAGTAGATAAGAATAAATAAAGATATTTTTTCTATCTATCTATCTATCTATCAATATGTCTATTTTGTCATCTACATATACACATACACACACACACACGCACGCACACATATATATATATATAATAAATGGGGATAAAGAAAGAAGGGTGATTTGATAGGTTAGCGAATGGAGAGATGATACTTTTGCAGCAAATTTTGTCTGTCGAGTTGGGTAACTGAGTGAATCTGCCCACTTCTCATAGGCTCAAAAGCCTATATTGCCCGAGTTCTATTCATGCGAATGGTTGAAACCCACTTGAAGACGATATTTTACTTGTCACCTTAACCCGTTGAACACTTCCTGGGTCCACTGTTGTTGGCCTGACGGGCTAGGCGTGTCTGGATTCAACACAAACAATGGCATTTGCCAACTTCCAACCGACCTGTGGCCAATTGGTACATGCCCATGGAGACCGCATGTCGTCGTCTTCGTCGGCTCAGCCAGCTTATGGGGATTCGAATTCCGGCACATCAGCTTACCCAAACAGAACCTCGGGCGCGCACCGTTTGATGCTCGATTTGTTGAGGGAAAAATTCTCCTCTCTTGCCTTGGATGCACAGTCTGCTTTTTCACCAGACACTCCGAGTTTGAGTCCATATGAAGAGACGAAAATTGCCAGTCTTCAGGGGCCGGCTGGGACCTGGCCGTCCAATTTTCACGCCAGAATGAATGCCAACAATCGGTTCACTTTGTCCAGTCTTTGGTCACCCAAACGGGGTAAGTTATCGTCCATTTAGTCACATAAACGAATGTATGCAAATCAAGATGATGTGACCTTTCGTATGGTCGCGGTCCACTTGCGTGGGATGTGAAGAGGCCTCATGAAGTTCGCTCAAAAGGACATATCTTTGCACATTTCAATAAGCAATTAAGAAATAGGATGTAGGATGGAAGAAGAGATATCACAACTGTTGAGCAGACAAGTGGTCTCTGACGAGTTGTAGCTTGTTGCCGAGATTCGATGTACCAAGTCGACAGTCCGAGTATGGAAATGATAATGCATACTATGAACTCCAAATTGGGTATGGCCGGTATGGCCGAAGAAGGTCATACTGGAATGCATACTTTATGGAATATACCAAAAATATGCTAAACCCTAGTCAATCTTGTGTACACATAACCTCTTAACGAGGCATACCATCATTTGGTTGGTCAACTCGAACACACTCTACATGCTTTAAGATGAGTGAAGTGATAAAGGAGCCGGAACTAGATTCAGTGGCAGCTGTTTGCTTGCCCAAATATATAAGCTAACATACGACTTATATTTGCACATTTGCTATTGTCTAATGTAGACATGTACTGCTCAACTCATGCAAAATTGCTGGCCAGACAAGTTGCTAGGATAGGCGAAGAAATGTCTGGTTTCATAATTGTTGAGATTACTTCCATTTCGCGTGAAAGAGTTTTTGAGTTTTCTTGACTCGCTAGCTTGAATTTGGTTGTAAAGATGACGTCACATGACGGAATCGAAGGAGATTGCCCCGGAAACAGCGTCAGCATGAATGTCTTTTGGTGGAACCGACCTTCGAGTCTCTTCACCCGACACTTTCACTCGAAGTGGAAGTAAGCACAAAAAGTTGCTAAGATTCGTTTTTTTGATAGTTTTTTTCTTTTTGCGTAAAATTTCATTTCGATTTTGCGTTATTTTCAGACCTACTTCACTTTGGCCGTATGCTCTGATTTAGGGAAAACAATTAGAACCAAGACCAGATTTGGGCAAATCTCGTCCAAAGCGCTTAGTTGCAATAGTTTGCTTGCGCTTCGAAGAATTGTGGATAAGGTAAATAGTTAATAAAGAAACATGCTGAGAGATTTGGGTACAGGAATTAGCTCAAGGAAACCATCTGTATCTGATGGGACAAAATAACGGAAAAGCCAGTATCAAAAGTTGGCAGGGACTTCAAAGAGGAAATTTTGGTAGAATTGCTAAGTTTAACGGAGAGTTCCGCAGAGTTCATGTAGAAACATCAAATAGGAACGAGCAATTAGTAGTAAGGCCAGACAAAAAAGGAGCAGTAGTAGTCATCGATAAGACTGGTTATGTAGGCCTAAGGATCTTTGCAACAATGTGTAATCTTGAATGCATAAAAAATCACGATTTATGTGTTCTCAGTTGACGCAAGTCGCCGAAACTTGACGATGAGATGATAGAAAGGAGAGATTTCGATGTAATGTCTTTTCACAGTAGCAACAGACCATCAGGTAAAAAGATGCATTCATAGTCAATTGGGCTATGAATAATACATATTCTACTCTCAATGATGTATGGAAGTGTGGCAAATTACCACATGCAACAATTTACAGTTCATGCATTTTGAGAGACACTCCAAGTTCACAAGTTATTAGTTCGATGCCGCTTGGCAACACAGCAACTTGTTCATATTGACAGTTTCCAGAGTTGAACTGTGGACTTTGCATATTCACAGACGTTTGGCCGGAATCGCAGTCGGCAACGTCAATGAGTCAAATCACAATTTCATACCTCTTTATCGAAATTGAGTTGGCACCTATTTCCACTCGCTCTGGTACCACAATGCCCCACCTACTCGGCCCGGTTTACTGCTTTCACTTTCATCCCATTCGTTCCATTCGAGACGCTATGTTCTACACTCTTCTTCCGGACTTTGAGCGAATGTTAACACCAACCTCACTGAGCAAGTCTCTACAGGCTGAACTTTCGATTGGCATGGCAACCTAAATTGACTCGTGGAAAAGCTGTCACTTGATGGACCACATTTATGCTCACATTTATCTGCCGCCCGGCAACTGTCACTTGTCTCTGTGGCATCTCTCGCTTTTCTATTTCGTCCATGGTGATGAAGGATATGAGTTGAGCTGACATTTTCATATAATTGTCGCAAAATTCTACTACCAGTCGTTCATCACCTTACACGAAATAGTGTGAATACATCTCATTACACTGATTTACTGGTATTCTCGAAACTCTACTCTAATACGAAAATATGAAAGTTATGGTTGCTTCGAGCAGGTTTGCTGTAGACGTCGCGTCTTCTTTTCCGATTGTTCTTCCCTGGTTTCCTTATAATTTCTTTTGCTGAAATGACAAATGTTACCTGTATCCAGTAGTCTTCTTTTTGCTGATCGTGCTTTTGCCTGATACCCTCTGAGTTCACTTGGACAGTACGCAAAGATTTCATTAAATCCGCTTTCTTTAAGTCTCCTCTTCACTATTGTTGTGCTTACTTCCAGTGTTTGGTGAATAGATTCAAGGGACTTTGCTATCCCAAAGTGATTTGAACATCGGATTGTACTTGTTCATTATCTCATTTTATAGGGACATTGTCGATGAGGCAAAGAAGTGTTTGATATTAAACTAGATTTTTTCTTTATTCCATATTGGTATAAATAAGAACATCTGTGATATCTTGTCATTTCAAAAGGTGATTATGCCAAAACTCGGTCTTATCTCTAAACCAGATGAGCATATTCTGAATCATGATTCTGTGTAATTTGAAGGTGGACATGTTTTAAGAAAATATCTGAGCAAATGACCTAGAAAATGTCACTCTCCATCCATAATTCTAAGTTCATGATTTTCTACTGCCTTATTCTTTTGTGTAATAACCCACAAATGGGATAATTCAACTAATGAAAAGAGTGAAAAGTTGGGTTTCGAGGAATCTCTTGTTTCATAATTGTTCAGCTTGCTTCCATCTCGAGTGAAAGTGTTGCGTTAAGAGATTCGAAGGTCGACTTCACCAAAAGACAATGTCGGATTCCTCTTGACCAGCTGCCGATTGGCTCTACTGGAACATTCATGCTGACGCTATTTCCGAGGCAATCTCCTTCGATTCCGGCGAAAAGATGCTGAGCTTTCGTTCGTCATATGACTCACCGGGTTGGTTGTCACGATGATACCTTGCTCTGATGATGTTGGTCATCCAATTGAAGGAGATTGCCTTGGAAACAGCGTCAGCAGGAATGTTCCAGTAGAGCCAATGGGCAGCTGGTCAAGAGGAATCCGACATCGTCTTTTGATTAAGTCGACCTTCGAAACTCTTCACGCAACACTTTCACTCGAAATGGAAGCAAGCTGAACAATTATGAAACAAGAGATTCATCGAAACCCAACTTTTCGGGCTATCACACAAAAGACTGAGGCAGAATAAAATCATAGACTTAACATTATGATAAAAGAGTGACATTTTTTAGGCTATTTTCTCAGATATTCTCTTAAAACATGTTCACCTTTAAAGCACACCGAATCATGATTCAGATTATGCTTATCTGGTTTAGAGATGAGACCGAGTTTTGGGATAATCAC